AAGGTTAACCCCCGCCGGAGCGGAGAGCGCGGGGGCGGGAGCAGCGTCCTGCCCGGGCACCGCTCCGCCGCCGCCGCGGGGGGGGCAGGAGGGACGGGGGGGCGAGGGGAGCAGATGCCGCCTGCAATTTCCCCACATAAGCAAATCGCAGCCCTGCGCAAGCAGAACTTCACCTTGAACGCCAGAGCAAAGCGTGCGCCAGGCTGACAGCGCAGCGAAGCCCCGAGGGCTGCGACTGTCTGCCGGAGCCCTGGATGCTGGCGGAGGTCAGGGACGATGCAGAAGTACAAAGAGCATACTTGCACGCTCCGAGATTCTTTGGCTCAGTAGGAAAACGCATCCCTGGACAGCCTCCCATCGAGCCACGACCGGGACCAAGGGGAGAATCTGGAAGCTGCGGGCTGGAATTTATGAGCCCCGTTCCCATTAAAATAGCAGGCGATATTTCCATCTGTCAGTAACCGATGATAAACAGAGCAGCTCCTTTGCACACCCCAGACCTTGCTCAAACAAAACCACCACCGGGGAGGGCAGGATTTGGCACAGAGATGACCACTGCCACGCTAGGAATTTATGGCTCCAGCCTGTCCAGTCTTTAGCAGGAGCAGGTATTTACACAGGCTGATCCCCAGGGGTCTGCCAAGGGCAGGGCACCGCCGTCAGGGCCCTGGCACCGACTGCAGCGCCCGCCTGCCCACCCAGGGCACGAGGGATGCTCTGCTGGGGACGAGCATCCTCCCAGCCCAGTGGTGCGCCTGGTCCCGTCAGCACTTTCCTGCTGTTGAGGAAATTTGCTGCTCAGTGGGGCGGAAGGTGCTGGAGGGGGCACGGGTCCAGGTTCGCACCCAGGACCCCCCAGCGCAGATGTGCCAGAAGCCACTGGTGAGCACAGCAGCAAAGGCATCGGCACTGAGCACGGGCCACCTCGGTACCCGGAGAGCATCACGTTGTGCACGCGTGGGATGCTGCCGTGACCGCCCACCCCGGTAAACGTGGCTGGATGCGGCAGGCCTCCCCACCCTGCGACCACTGATGCTTCGCTGTTTGCAAAAGCATTGCGGAACTGTTTGCCAGCCCTTCAGATGGTATTAAACAAACGTTTCCTGACAAAACTGGGACTGGACTCCAACCCCTTAGCGCTCCCCAGCAGAGCGGCTCCCGGGAGACAGCACGCCGTGGGCCGCCGAAGGGCAGCGGGGGCGGTGGGTGCCCGGGAGCGAGGGGCTGGCACCGAACACGCCGCTTTACAGCATTCCAGCATATTCCTGCCCTTTCCCCCTCCCCTCAGCTTCTCGTCACCCTCGCACCACATAAAGGCATCAATTAGCTACAAAGCGCTTTGGAGACCTCAGCTCATTAATCCAACTTGTAATTAGTCTATAAGGGAAGGCGGGTGGTTGCAAGTCTGGGCAGCTCACAGGGGGCTGCGCCCCGACCCCCGCCACCGCTGCCCCCCGTGGAGCAGCCGCAGGGGGGTCCCCGGGGGACACCCTGTCCCCAGGATGGGGACATGGGGCTCCGGGCACTGCCCTGGGTGCCGGTACCTGCGCCAGCCCCAGGAAGGACAAATTCCCTCAGTGTGCTGCTTAACGCCACGCAAACCCTGGCGGAGCCATTGCAGGGGGACATCCGGGGCCGCGATTCCCGGCCTTTCTGCGGGAGAAAATCCGCAGCACTCGGCTGTACGGGCCCAGGCCAGGTACATGCCAACAGATGGCACAGAGGACAAACCGGTCCTCACCCTTGCACCAGCGCCCGCCCGGCGGCACAGTGCCCGCCGTGTGCCAGCATCCCTGCCACACTGCCGGGCGAGGGGCTGGGACCCCCCGCCAGTGCCCCGGGGCAAGCACCAGCCCTTCTCCTACGCTCAGAAAGTGCCCCCGAGAACCAGCAAGAGGGGCTTAGAGGAGACATTTGGGGAAAAAACAGGCCGGGACTCGGTTCATCAGGCTCAGCGTGATGGGGATCACCGCACTGCCCTTTAGCGGGGGCTTTGTCCGGCCGTCAGAGGACGTACCCCTTCCTCCCACCGCAGCCTGACAACTCCTTACCACGCCACTGCACCTCCCAGAGATGCCAACAACATCGAGTGACTGTCGAGCCCGCCTGGAGGGATGACGCCGGAGTGCTCTATTGCCAACCACAACACAACGGAGGTGTTTTACAATAATTAGGTGATTAACAGTAACTCCACTGTCCAAAAAGAGAAACCGTCCCCAACTCACAGCAGCCTGGGACGGCTTTGCCCCCAGCAGCGCATCGCATGGCGGCCAGCGAGTAAGACGGGGCACCGAGCACATCACCCCCGGGAGGGCAGGTACGGGAGCTCAGGGCCATCCCGGGAAAGCCGCCTCCACCTCCTAATGCTGCAGTGCCCACGGTCCCGTGCGCTCCACCCATCGCCAAACGCTTGGTGAAACAAACCCCCGGACCTTAAAACGTCCCGTCAAGGGCAGGCACGCAGCTGCCTTGGCTGCCGCTTCAGCTAAGTGGCTTTTGTGATAGACATTGGTCTAAATGGAAAACAAAACCCGTCCTTGTTGCAACGCCGGTGC